ATCTATATTTTCAAAAATATAAATTTTCTCGCTATTTTTTGTGTGTTGTAAATAACATCGTGAAATCTTTCTCTTCGTTAGAAATATAAGATTAACCTTCAAATGGCACACTTCGAGCACCCACTAATGGCACACTGGTGCAGCGACTACCCAGCGAACAGCCGCGACAGATACTTTGTGAAAATGTCAATATGTCAAAAATTTTAGCGGTGCGAATTCGCACTCTTGTGCCATTTAAAGGTTAATAATTATAATTTTCATATTAATTATTGCACTGATTCGCATTGCCTGTTCACTTTTTGAGTTTATATATTTTTCGAGAATTTTATAAAATTTCGTTATTTTATACTACGATTAGCATATGGCAGGTCTGACGGTGAGCTGCACCACAATTGTCTTGTTTTATTCTGATTCAAAATAAATTAACGTAATAAATTAATTATTTTATTTTATTTTAAAATTTAATTGCTAAGTTTTAGACAAAATTTTGTAAGTGGAAAATTCGTTTCAGAATTTAGTCAAGAATATGTCGTGATGTATGTGATGTCAAAGTCATTAAAGTGATGGCAAGAAATGCAATTGCATTTATATAAATATCACAAACTTATTAATTAATAAAGAGCAAAATATTATTATATACATGTTACCGTTTATAATTTATAACATATATTTAAATATATTTGGAGTAGTCTATTTTATCATCAATATGAAAACTTGGTAGCCAAAACAAAACTTAATGCTTATATCCTTATTATCCATATTAATATCATTACCTTCACTAAGGAAAAGTCCATCACCCAACCAAGGTATTAGACGATCATAAAACAATTTCTTTTCCATATGCTTCTTGCTGCTTAATATTGTCTAAAATTATAAGAAATTTGAAGTTAAATATTATTTAACTTACACCCAACGTATAAATCAATTAATTGTTTTCGGGAATATTTTAAATATTCAATCTCTAATTTTTTACATGTGAGTATATTTTTGTTATATGTATAAATGGAAACAACAAGTACACTAAGATATCAATAATAATAAAAGAATAAAATTTTATTTATAATTCATTACCTCGAGATCATCCGGATGACGTATAGAGACAATGGGCACAAAGAATGCCCAAAATTTAAAAATGGGATAATACTTATTAATAAGGGTAATTAGAGTGTTCCATTGTTCCTCTAAAAAAATGTATGTTATTATATGTATAAACTCACTACAAATGTCAAAACATTATAAATATTGATCGTAAAAAATTTGATTGGCTTTATCATATTTAACCCTTTGTATCATTTTTATATATCATATCGGTTTTATTAAAATCCTAAATAAGCTATTTTGCCGTTGCCTATATTGTTGTTTTGTTATTGATAATAATTTAATAAAAAATGCATTTTTTTTCAAAAAAAGTACAAATTTTGACTACGTGTTTAGTTACAGTAATTACGCAAATAAAAATGGTTGCCTACTTTTTTAAATATATTTATTTATTTATTATGTTCTAGAGACTTTACGAAAACAAAAAACCGATACGTTAAAAAAATTATCAAAATTAATAACTGAGCAGAAAAGGGTGAAATTCTAGCACAAGTAATTAATATATTCTATCATTTCTCAAATAGCCTTAGTAATAAAAAATAAATGTTATTTTGTAGAAGAGAACTCATAAGCTTAAGTCACAATAAGTCAAAATATTCATTATGCAATAATATTAATAATTATATGTCTCAAAGTAAAATGTTTGTAAATATACATATTTGCATATACACGTGTGCAAGACATTATAATTGACGTGAATGTACAAAATATTTTTACTTGCCTCGTGAACCAAGATACTCCAAGATATTTCCAAAAATCGGTTTACTTGATGGTCCTGGTATGAGATTGATAAGTCGTCCATTTTTTCCGTAATGCGTATATAAATTGCAAACCAATATAATAAGGATAAATAATAGCAATATAGTGATGAACATCGTTTGTTGGTCAGGTAATTAGCAAATTTATTCGAATATTGTTTTCTTTGATTCTCTGCTCTGCTTTAGTTTTTAAATCACTAAATACATATTATTATTTGCTTCATAACAAAATTGCTGGTATTCTAAATGTATTAGTAAGTAAGAAATATAATATTACATATAATATTTAGACATATAATATTACGTATAATATTGCATATAATATTTATAGTTTGTTATTAAAAACTTTGAAAAACTCTGATGTATTTTTAATGTAAGTACACAACAAATTTTAAATCCAATAAAATTTTTTTGATTGATTATTTAGTTACTGCATATTTTTTAATTTCCAGCAAGCATTAAAATTAATATATTATTACAAATGTTTTTGTTTACTAAGAACTACGCTAAACTAATGCTACCTTCCTGAACGTTCGCGAATGACTACTATATATTCATGATGTTCGCTTCATGATAATCGAGCGAATAATTCGAACATGCAACAGTGTTAATCACGGATTATGGAAATCTTTTTATTAAGTCTATTGTACACGATGCGAGTTTCCATTCTAGATTGCAAACTAGAAATTAGAAATATACGGTGTGATGCAATTTTAGTAATTTACTAGATTGCAATTAGCGATCTAACATGAAACGTCGCATCGTGTGATGTAGACTACAGATTATTCAAGCAATTACGTAGCTTATATAATCTTATATACGTATATATCACCGACGCAAACAAGTTGTAACAACGTATGACCTTACGTGACCGGTTTTACATAGATAAGAAAACTGGTTGAAAAATAGATGAGGAGATTAATGTTGATCATATCTTTCCAAAGATGATAAAAACATACCAATTAAGTACATACATACGTCTGATGTAAAAAAATTATTTATTAAAATAATGTTATTTTAATTATAATAATAATCATTAATAATGTCAAAATTATAATTTTTTCCAAAATATGGTGTTTTAGTTTGAACAAAATTAAAATATTACAAGAATCAATTAAAAATAAAAGACGGGGTGTATTAACAAAACTCTATTGCGCAATAATAATAAAAATAATTTTTCATTATATTATTATTGTTTATATTTTTAATTTACGAAAATATCTAACTTTGAACATAAAAATTTCAACATTTTCAATATTGACATACATAATTGTACTATTCTGTTACCGATTTTGTTAAAAATTCTAAATTATATAAATCTGTCTTAAAACCAAATTGACTATTGTGTCTTTGAGCACAAATTTATTAAAATTTGCACTGTCTTTCCGTTTGTGTACACAGTTTATTTATATTTTATTTTTCCAACTTAACAAAATACAAATAATCGGCACTGTATTGGCTGCGATGCGTAGTATAATCGCACGTTCATTGCTACAACAAACGTCTATAATAGGGACATTCACCATGAATCACAATTAGTTCACTACTGACCGCACCAAGGCCGATTTCGCCTCGCTCCAGTTCGCGTCGTAGAGCGCGTTCCGTTTCATGTATATGATGCGCATGTTTTTCACTGAACGTTAAACCTGAATGTTAAAGGATAAATGATGCATCAGGTAAGTACATAATACATAAAACGGAACCGCATCTTTATCTCGACGACTGTCTCCGCAAGAATGATCGAGCTCGCGCCTCGTGAATTCACGTTATCGTATTATCTGCGGGTTGTTGCCAAAAATTGCCGAGAACTAAATCGGCAAAATCTGATCACAAGAGCCAGAATCAGGATTTACGTGGCGATGATATTGACAATGAGAAGTGCGCGGTTCCGCAGCGGCGGTAAACACGTGGGCCCTGAATGCGAGATCAGACGCACTGGTCCCCGTTTTGTTCATGTCGCTAATATCGCATAGAAAAGTCTGACAATGAAAACTTATGTGCGTGGGTATGTATTTCTCTTTTGTATAATGTGTCGTGCACGACTTTTAGGAGTTCCAATCATATATACATACTCGCGTAACACTGAAGTATAAAAAAATTTATTGTTCAGGAGACGTTAAGACTCAATTAATTAATTAATTAATTAATTAATTAAATTGCTGAATAAATATTAATTTAATATTTTTTTACTCGTTTTCTAATAATTTAATATTTAATATTTTTATTGCTATTTATTTAATTTTGTTACAAATTTAAAGATAGTAAAAAAAATATTCTACTTATAAGCGGGAAGTTCCTTTAAGCATTCCACTAAGCAAAAAAATTTTACATGAAGCATATTCCTCAGCTTTAACGCGTATTTATCTATAAAGAAGTGGACTATGTACTATAATCAAGAATAAATTCTCATAGTAATTCGATATTCCTCTACATTTTAGAATATCTTCTTGAGACGTATATAAATGGAAAATCTTTTAGCCTCAAGAGAGTACCGCTAAAGAATAGAATTTTTTTGGGTGTAATATATTAGTTTTTATAGTATTTTTAATTCTTCTTATGCACCTACAAATTAACGTGTATCTACATAAATCACATGGTGATCAAATGTGCTCATTTATAATACTAGCATTGTAGACGCTTCGTGTGCGCTATTTTGCACTTCTATATTTTTTACTACTTGCTATCATCCTATCAACTCTTGACACACAACTGTCAAAGTGTACAATAACAGCCGCTTGCGAAGCAGGAGAGAACTTATTAACATCACGAAGAAGCGACAACAATAAACTTCAATAGAAAGCTGAATTCTACAATATAAAGATTTCTCGAAAAATCTGTCCGCTAAAAAAATTATTTGAATAATGGATTTAAAAATTCATACAAAATTGATTAAGTACCATCATCCATCCGTGACCATATAGAAGGCGCTCTTGAATTTATTGTGTTATTCATATACGTGATCTAGTTCAAATTAAAAATTTTTTTTTTTACAAGCTGTATTATACATATATTAATTGTAGAAGTATGTAATCTTATTAGAGTATGTATAGCGTATAAATCTAGATATTGATAAGTGGCGCTGCGCATTAAAGAATTTTAATACTAGGATAAAATAGAGTAGAATCGTACGTATGTATGTATGTACACAAGGCGTCACAAATGCCTACCCATCTGAACTTGCAGGGATACTAACCCATGTGTATTTTATATTATATACATGTATATACAATAATATATACGTATATGTGTCCCTGCAATTTCAAATGAATAAGCATTTGTGATGCCTTGTGTACA